TGTTTGGGGTGAAAAGATGAGGAACTATGAAATTGGAAACCAAAAGGAAATGTCACATTACAGTGGTTTTTCAATTATGTTCATCCAATTTTAAGGTTTACAGAGGTGACTTGGACTGACCTGAAGTAAGGAGGGTTAACAAAAAAGGTCACAGCTGGTGGGGATCAAGCTTCATGGTTCCATCTGTTTAATATATTAGGGCTCCATGAAAAATTGTTTGAAAGTTTGTTCCTATTGCCAAAAGCTTATAAAAACCACAGCATCGACCAGTAAAGACTACTACTTATAAATACCATGGGACTTGAGTAAAAAGAATCTCTGTGAGCTGGAGTGGGCTCAGGGTTAGAAAACTAGTTACAAGATTAGAAGGCTATTCCAGATTTAGTCGATTGCAAAATCCCCGGAAACAAAGGCTATAGACACCTTTACTTTCTAATCTCTTTAGTATCTCACACAAAGTAGGCATTTTGTAAATATTTATCATCTGGGCTATAGAAAGAATTAAGGTTAGATAACCTTGTGGGACCAGATCACAGAGAGTTTTAGAAGTTGTACACACACAAAAAAAGACATAGAAAAAGTAAATAAAACTATTGAGAGGAGAATGCTGTGATACAAAGTTTAAGGAAATGGCAGGTCATAAGAATTACAACAGAAAGGCAAGCATTAAGGAGCCCAGCCAGAAGATGCTTTGGTCAATTTATACATAATCTAAAAAAATCTCCCACTTTTAGATATTTGATGTATTTGGGGAAGAAAGTTAAAAGGATTAAACACAAGTCTTACCCTCAAAGAGCTTTAGAAATGTAGAAAAGGGTCAGAGAAAAGTAGGTGATTTCAAGGAGGGCCACGAGGTAGAAGAGCAGCTCTGGCCCTTCTAGCTTAAACTTTTCTAAAGTACATCAAGAGCTTAAAAAGAAAGGCAAGTCCACATGGCCCCAGTCAAGTATGATCTATTATGATAGATGTTAAAATAGTGGTATCTTTAAGGAGGTGACATGAGGAAATCTTCCGGGGTGTGAGAAATGTCTTGATCTAGGGTTTCATGGTTGTAGTCATCAAAATGTGAGTTGTATAATTTTTAGAAATTGCAATATGTTTTTAAAAGTGCCTTTTTATGTCTATTTGGACAACTCTTTGGGGATTTATACTTATAAAATGGATGCTTAGACTACTAATTTATATTTAAAATTCCTCCTTGATGGCCAGGCACAGTGGCTCATACCTGTAATCCCAGCATGATGTGGAAGGATCACTTGAGGCCAGGAGTTCAAGACCAGTCTGGGCAACATAGTGAGATCCCATCTCGAAATTATGTTTTTTAAATTAGCCAGGTATGGTGGTACATGCCTGCAGTCCCAGCTACTTAGGAGCCTGAGGCAGGAGGATTGCTTGAGCCTAGGAGTTTACGGCTGCAGTGGGCCATGATCATACCACTACACTCCAGCTTGGGTAACTGAGCAAGGCCCCATCTCAAAAAGAAAAAAACAAAACAAAAAACTTCTTCTTTGAATGTAAATAGGTTTAATTCTTTATACCATAAAGACCAACTCATATTGTGCTTGGTCTTAATGACATGATAAATCAGCTTTTAGTCTTTGAGGTAGCTCTACACATAGGAAGATGCCCTATGGTCACAATATTTTCCTCTTGACTTTCTTTTCTCATCTTCTCAAATGTCAAATGCAAGCTGTTCTGCTAAGCAGGAAACAACCAGCTGCTTGGTATCTGTAGACAATACCATTTCCAGGACTCTGACAAACTACACTACAGCAAGGAGTTCAATCTATTCCTTTAGAGCAAGTGTTTCCATTTTGTATTATGCCAGGGTCATACAAAAGTCATACAGAATTTTTTTTTTTATGCTGAGAACACGCTGAGGTTTTTACTAGATGATTTCTCATTTCTTTACTCCTAAACAAGAAACATATCATTTTACTTTATTGAAAAGGGCATAATCAATAAGGGTGTATGCAGCATATGTGCCACCTAACCATACTATGATTAACACATGGCAGAAGAAATCTTTTGGGTTGAAAAATATCTTTATTTAGCATACCAAAAACACAGAAACATAAGAAAGATCCTACCTAGTATAAACATAAAAATAGTTAAATACCATAATTTAATGTAAACCAAGCATTTAAAAGTGTGAATTATTATAATAAAACACGTACTATTTACACAGAACCAAGTTAAAGCTACCTCCGCAGTTATTGGATCAGATCATCAATCTTGAAGTCATCATTAGCAACGAAACAAACAGCATCTCTATTTGTACTGGTCAATAGGAAAAGAAAAATCATTATATTTACTTTAAACAAATACAACTTATTGTGACATCTAAAGAAGGGAAGCAGAAAGTGCCAGTTCTAGGATTCCAGACACCACCAGTGCATGTGGAGGCTTGTAAACCATACAGCTGGAAGAACTTGAGCCTGTTCTTTTATTGAAATGCAAACTGGTTGATTCAATTCAGCTACTGTTTTATAAAGGTACTAAATATATTCTGGAAAATTAAACTTTATTAATAACAATCAAAGCTGAATGCAATATCAATTAGGTAAGAAAGGCAAAAGCATAAAAATATATTATTATTCCAGATGAACCCCTTAATCATAGCAAATGCTACAAAACTCAGTTTCATAAAACCAGATGGGGTAGCAAAAGGCATCTTGAAAAAAAATATAAAACCCCAATCAAATTCAAACCAAACAAACCTAAGATAATGTTTCTTGGAGAAAGTTGTATTTTGTTTATCTTGTCATTAACATACAAAAGCTGTCATGAGATCTGTGGCTGATACAGTTATTACTATGGAGTAGTATGATCTTTGATCAACAGTCTAAAAAGCTGCAGTCACTGATTGGTTCAAACATTTGGATTTTTGGCTTCAAAGATTAACATTCACTATGATACTGCAATTCAGGTATCTCTAAGAGGCAGCATTAAATCTAATATCAGGAGTTTAAAATGTAAAATAAAGTTGCAAGAATAGATGCTTAGTAATATATCCTGCTCCTTTGTCTAATCCTGTAGTTTTCAAATTTTTGGTCTCCCGATCCCTTTGTACTCAAAATTTACTGGGGATCTGGATGTCCAAGAGCTTTTGCTCATGAGGTTTATCTATCACTATTTACCATATCAGAAAATAAACTGAAATTTTAAAAAGTAATAATTCATTAAAAAATAACAAATCCATTACATGCTAACATAAATAACATTTTTTTGAAAATAGCTATATTTTCTAAAACAGAAAAAAATATTTTTGGAAAGATGGCATTAGTTTACATTTTTCAACTCTTTTTTGAGAGAACTAGAGTGGAAAGACAATGTCTTCATATTATTATGAAAACAATTTGATCTCTCAGACTCCCTGGAAGGCTCTCAGAACACCCCAGAGGTCCATGGGCCATGCTTCAAAAACTGTTTTTCTAATATAAAGCCTGGCATTAAGGGCAAAAAAAAAGTCTACACAATAGGAGCCTTAATTTTCATTTTAAAATAAACCAAAAAAGTCACATATACATACACAAGTCACTGGATCAAACACTCTCACCTTCAGCTTTCACTAGAAGCCAAAGATTGACATGTACTCATGGCAAAATTAAAAATATCATTTCTGAGACCAGGGCCAATATATAATGAATCATTTTTAGTCCATGAAAGCTAGGAAACCTGTCAGTTAAGCACATATGCCTTAGTTCTGTTTCCAACATTTGCTTAACCCTGTTTGTGCTGAGTGCTATCATCTTTCAATTAGCACAGCTTTGGTATAGACGAGAGTACAGCAGGGATTCACTAACAGTCCACACACTCAGGTGAGGAACCTATTAGTTGTTTATGGAACAGCCTGCTCTATTTCTCACTAGGTGAAAGCTCTGATAAATTTTAGGGAAACAGAGGGAGAAAATTATCTCTCTGTAATAATAATGTTATGCTCTTGTTTGTTTGTTTGTTTGAGTTGGAGTCTCACTCTGTCACCCAGACTGGAGTGCAGTGGCCGCTCTCGGCCACCGCAGCCTCGACCTGCTGGGCTCCCGTGATCCTTCTGCCTCAGCCTTCCAAGTAGCTGGAACTACAGGCGCGCTACCACGCCTGGCTCATTTTGATTTTTTTTTTTTATTGTAGAGATGAGATCTCGCCAAGTTGCCCAGGCGGGTCTCGAACCCGCAGGTCAGGCAATCCACTCACCTCAGCCTCCCAAAGGCGTGGGATTACAGGCTGAGCCACCGAGCCCGGCTCAATGTTATGATCTTATTCTAGATAACTTTCCACATTTTATACATTTCTTGCACACTCACTATCTCATTTGATCTTTGTAAAGCCCTCAGAGAAGGGCAGGACAACTGATATTATCCTTTTAGAATTGAGGAGTTTCAGGGTCAGATATGGCTCTTTCCCAAGGTCCCATGGCAAGTATGTAGTGGAGGGGGATAGAGCTCAGGTCATCTGACTCCTACTTCAGAGTTTCCCCAGCTTTCCTCCTTCCTTTGGTTCCAGGACAGGATTGGGGGTGAAGTCAGTAGGGATGGAACTGGAGGCAGAAGAATGACACACCTGAAACCTACATTCCTTCTGTCTCATCAGCCATTTTATCTAAAACTAAGGAGGTTTGCTTGGGAGTAGCACAGATGTTTCCCTGAACTGATCTAATGAATCTGCCATCAGTGCATACTTTATGAAACAACTGTCTTTTTTTTTTTCTTTCTGAGCCAGATTATGTTGGCAGCTCATTTAAAGTCTGTTCCCTCTGCTCCAAGGAAATAGTAAAAACCCTGCAGTTAAAAAAATCTGATGAAAATACAAAAAGAAATAGCAACAATAATGAGATCTATGTGGGGCTATCACTAGATTTAGTGTGCATCTGGCACAACACAGACTTTGCAATCTTCCTCCACCAACTGGAGGGCAATATAAAGATCACAGTTTATAATTTAATGGAAAATTGCCTTTGAACAATCATGAGGCAAAGAGTTTAGCCTATACAAAAACATTAAGAAAATAATTTCAAAAAATTTTATTTTAACTAAACTCTTGGGGTTTGATGATTCTGTGGCAGCAGGAGAGAGAGTAGACAGCACAGAGAAAGACAATAAAACAGTGAGAAGAAAGTAAAGGAGTAATGGGTATCTACTGCCTGTCATTAATACATATATCCACTTTAGAAATTATTTTGTTGCCAGGAAATCCTCTCCATCAAGATGTTAATACATATAGCACACGACATTCACAGATGCTAAGAAAACACTGTTCAATTTTGGAAGTAGGCGGTGTGGTCAATCAAAAAATAAAAATCCCTAGCACAAAACAAGCCAAACGCCACTAATGACTGATGATGTTCTTTTAAGCAAGTTATCACTTTGTGTCCTCATGTACTCTCTTTCTAAGATGTTTCTAAAATAAAGAATGACTATGTGCATTTTTTTTCCTTCTAAGGTAGATGAAGTAATAGGAAGTTAACAAAAGCTAGTAAGAATTAGAAAACATGCTAAGTACATCTTGTTTGCAAAATTCTACAGCACGTTGCTGGCTATAACACAAATTGGTGTCCTTTCTTTCCAGTTTTGGTGAGTAATGGTTTCTTTCTAGGTGATTTAGATTGAAGTTAATGAATTTTTAAATACAGTTTTACACATACTGGGTTGATGCATACACATGCATATATGCATATACATACACATACATATGCTCACGTATATGTATATCTCATCACATCACATGAAGACTCCCACTAGTATGTTTTTTCCTCTTCATATATTTCCTCTAGCAAAAATGAGCATGGATAATGATTTTATAACAGGAAACAAAATGAAAGAAAATCAAACCAGAAAGTGTGAAGTGGTATGCTGTAAGAGTCCAATAAAATAAGTCAATGCACATTTATGTAGTGGTAAAGTGCTAGAAAGTTCTTTCATTAGTATTTTAAAAATGATTAGAATAAAAAGAAGTTTGCAGCTTCATTTGATGGTGGTGACCACAGGCACCATAGCAATGGCACTGGCTGAGTTGGAGTTGACTATGTCCTCATACTCCGGGGGTGGGTCTAAATGAGGTTCTGTTTCACTCCTCCGCAGGTTCACCTGGCCAGTGGCTTCCTCATAGGTTGGCGGGGGATCACAGTTGGATAGGCGAGTGGAGACAGAATCTGAGCGCCCAACTACATATTCCAGGAAGCCTGTAGACAATCCACTGCTATCAAATACCTCATCTGGTGGGGGAGGTGGGGTAATAATATTAAGGTGCTGAGGGAAAGGGATGTGGCCTTCAGTCACTGTCTGTCTACGAGTTTTGTTTCTTAGGAAACATCTCCAGATTAGAAAAATGACAAGGAGGATAATGAAAAGGCCAAAGATTAATGGAAAGGTAAGGTAAAATTGAAACCAGTCACTTCCTCTGTTACTCTCTCCTTGTTGCGCTTTTGTGTAGGTACTCCAAAACTCCTTCTGAAAATATAAGACAAAATAAATTGAAAATCAGTATGGTCAAAAGATGGGAAATATCAGATGTACAAATGTATGGATTCAATGAATACAGTGAACAAAAAACCAAAACCAGATTTGTTGGATCAAAGGACCTATAGCCTACATTTTCCATGACAAGAAATTACACACTGTTGTGCTCACTCTGAATCCTCTCTAGAGGACTGGGTCAATGAGAACACAAGAGTCTTTTTTAGACTTGGAGCTATTTATATTTGTATGCATACATTTAGAATGAAACACAAGGAATGAGGACCTTGTTCTTTATTGACTATACCAAATAATTTGCCTTTACAAATATTAAGTTAAATATCATCACTGTCCATGTCCACCTATGAGATTCTCATCCCATGATCCCCACCATCAACATGACCAGTCTTTCAGTACTCAAACATTCCACAGATAAACACCTTCTTTTTGAATGGTTCTATTTGGGGTCCTGTGGTGCTACTGCATATACTGATTTTCACCCACAGTTTCTGGTTTATAATCCCCATAGTCCTTGTTATAGTCTTTTGCTACAATGTTAGCTGTGTTAGGTCTCAGAATCAGGCCTTAGGAAACAGAATTTTTAGGACCTTCTCCTGCTCTACATTTCCCTGTCCCAAGGCAGGGCTCTTATCCTCCCCCATCTCCACCTTCTGATTGTGGGTCTTAAGACCCTCCTCAGAGAAGTTTCCAACCTACATTTTGGGGGAAGAAACGCTGAAGTCATGAAGCTTCCACAAAAACCCAAGAGGGTTGTGTTCGAGGAACTTCTGTGGAGCTGAACATATGTAGGTTCCTGGATCACAGCTGGACAGTCTTTTAAAGTACTTACATTTGACCATTTACTATAAAGAATATTCCAAAGGATACAGATGAAGAGGTGTGTACTCTAAAAAACTGTCCTCTACACAAGTAAATGGGCAAATGTAAGTGCTTTAAAGTACTCTGCACCTCTAATCCCATACCTTGCCCTACACACCTCTTCATCTGTCTCCTTTGGAATATTCTTTATAGTAAATGGGCAAATGTAAGTGTTTTCCTGAGTTATGTCACTCCAGAAAATGAATTGAACCAAAAGAGGGAGGTTGTAGGAACCCCAACTTGAACCCAGTCAGTCAAAAGTTCCAGAGGCCCAGACTTACAAGTGGTGTCTGGGGGCAGAGGTGGGGCAATGTCCTGAAGACTGAGCCCTCAGCCTGTGGTATCTGAGTAGATAGTGCCTGCACTGAACTGGAGAACATCCAGCTGGTGTCTGCTGCTTGGTGGTGGGGATAAACCTCCACATTTGGTCACAGAAGTTTTCTTCTGTGTTGATGATTATTGTGGTGTGAAAGCAGAAGAAAAATTCATTTTGAGAGTTTTTCCAAGCAAGCCCCCTTCCACCAGACATTCCACCACAACTCCCTCTCCACTCCCAAGGTTTAGGTAAAAATGTTGACTGAAGGTAAAAATTACATAGTGTTCCTAGGAGAGATCTCAGGCTAGTGAAGAAACTGTATTAGGTTATTTCCAAACCTGGATCTGAATCCCAAATTAAAAATAATCTACTAGTTCAAGTCTTTAATGTTTGTGGGAAAAAATATTTAAAAGATAAAAAAGAAATTAGACACAATTGCTAGTTGAGACCTGGGCAAATTACTCCTTTAAGCTTCACCTTAAAGTCTCTTTACCTATAAAATGGATAATACAAACCCACCTTATAGGCTGTCTGAGCACTACGATATATATATGTGTGTGTGTGTGTGTCTAATTAAGTTCCTGGCATATAAATATTCAATCAATATTAGTGATTATAATTTTTATATATTATGATAAAGTCTATGCTTCAAAATGATTGATCTATCCCATACCTAGGTACAAAGAATGCCCTCAATCCCAATGCTATCGATTCCATTTACCAATGTTCAAATTTCATCAATAACCGCTTTTTTCATAATTATATTTACTTGCAAGTATTATAGAAAATGAAATTATTTAATTATCTGGCATCAAGAGAGGGAGCCCTTGGAATCTGAATTGAGAAAAGTGGATTTGGGGAGGGGAGTTAGATCATTGCACAAATGGGTATTTGAGTTGGACTAGATTGAGAATTGCAAACTGAGTTGTCCCAAGGACTCATGGCATTTACACAAATTTATATATCTGGTTGGACATAAGACTTTGGATACTAATGCTGCTTGTTTTATAGTAAAATATGTATTTGTTTATACAGTCTTTTAAAGTACTCTGTGGGCATAATAATGACCCCAAATCATCAATGTTTCACCCCTGAGCTAGATCTTCTTTAAGGTCCATCATTACTTCAACATTCTGCGATTCTAAGGTAAATTTGGGCATCTTATAAGAAATACTGTGTGATTTAATAAAGGCTGTGAACATATTCACAATGAGTTTCACCCGAAAAAGCAGATGAAAATATACAAGATTCAATATTAAAATAAGCTAAAAGTAGAGAAAGTATACCCCAGATACAGCATTCATTTCAGAGCACTATCCAAAACCTAAAATTGTCAAATGACCCATTTGTATCACAGGTTAAAAACTATTAAATATAGATGTATAAAGTTATTATTATTATTATTATTAACAAGAAATGTGGTCTCAGTAGCTCAGGCAGCTGGAGGAATGGCAGCAGCCAGGCAGCCCAGCTTTGCAAAGGCTCTCGGCACACCAGTGGCCATAGGTACCTGACATGCGCCCTGCCTGTCAGCAAGCCACCAAGATGTCCGAGAGGAAGTTCAGCTCAGCCTAGGGGCGGCGAAGGAGGAGCCCAAGGGAGGATCTGCACAGTTGTGGGCTAAACCTTCTCCTGCATAAGTAGAAACAAAGCCAAAAAATGGCAGCCGCAAAGGATCAATCTTCAAACAACAAAGTGCACACAAAAGAGAAAAGGAGAGCAAAGGGAAACAGGCTAAAAGGGAAAAGTGGTAACCAAGGAGCTAAAGAAGTGTTAGTTACCTGCAGAATATGGAAAAACTAAAACTGAGGAGAATCCAGCCTCTGATGAAGCAGGAGAGAAATAAGGCAAGCCTGAACAATGTCATATACCATGTCTTATCAGTGGTCCCTGTCTTCCTTCTTGTACAATCCATGGGAATATTTTTATCAATTATTTTATAAATGTAATTTTTTTTAGTAGTTCTAGAAACTTTTTTGAGGTGAAGGGAATCCCCCTTTATTCTATTTTTTAAAGAGTAAATGCTTTTTTAAAAAAGTGATTGGCAGTTGAGGGAAACTGCTAGGGCAGGGAGGGGCAGACCTCATTAACAGGGTACCTGCATGATCAATGTTTGTATACCTAACCCTGAATTGTATCCCACATCTTTACATTAAAAAAAAGAGGTGAAATCATTCTCTGGTTGTTTATTTTTTGGTATAACCAGAAAATAGTATTGGCTATTGAATCATGGGGTGCTTTGACTGTCTTGGGTGTCAGCCTAACATTCCATAGATGGGGGGTTAGTTTTTACATCCGATAATGCAAAGTATACTCAATAGCAATATGGATCATAGTCTTGCATGTAATGTCTTGAACATTTAAAATTACTTCTATTCCCATGTTGTTTTTTAGTAGAATTGTTTCCTAAAGAAAACTACTCCTCAATCATGGCTCTCCCTGCCAGAATTGTGTGTACTCTGCAGCATCTTTGGTCATTGTAGTTCTGTTTTTCTAAAAACTTTGCTAATGTTCTGTGAAAGATTGTAAAATTGAGTATGTTGTACATATAATAAATTGTGAATTGGTGGGATGCATATAACAGCTGATCAACACTTGAAGATAATAGTACTTGATATCCCCTTAAGGAAAATTTGTCTCTAAATTTTAACTGGAAAGTCACTGGAAAACTTTTAAAAAATAATGATAAAGCTGGGCTTGGTGGCTCAGCCTGTAATCCCGCGCCTTTGGGAGGCTGAGGTGAGTGGATTGCCTGAGCCCATGGGTTTGAGATCCGCCTGGGCAACTTGGCAAGACCTCATCTCTACAATAAATAAAAAATGAGCCGGGCGTGATAGTGCATGCCTGTAGTTCCAGCTACTTGGAAGGCTGAGGTGGAAGGATTGCCGGAGTCCAGCAGGCCGAGGCTGCGGTGGCTGGGAGCAGCCACTGTACTCCAGTCTGGGCGACAGAGTGAGACTCCAACTCAAAAAAAAAATGATACATGGCTTTTTAGTACATATGTTAAGAATTGTGTACAAATTGAAATGTCTGTGTACTGATCTGCAATACAACCAATAAACTCTTGATTATGAAAAAAGCAAAAAACAATAAATGTGCTTCTAAAATTGTACATTATTACCTTATTGTGTAATTGTCACTTTTAGAATTGACAACCTTCCTTCCTTCCTTCTTTCCTTCTTTTTCTTTTTTACAGGGTCTTACTCTGTTGCCCAGGCTGGAGTGCAGTGGCACCCTTATGGCTACCATAGCCTCGACCTGCTGAAATCAGGTGATCCTTCTGCCTCAGCCTTCCAAGAAGCTGGAACTACGGGCGCATGCCACCATGCCTGGCAATTTTTTTTTAATTTATTGTAGAAACTAGGTCTTGCCAAGTTGTCTAGGCTGATTTCAAATCCCTGGTCTCAGGCAATCTTCTTGCCTCTGCCTCCCGAAGTGCTGGGATTACAGATATGAGCCACCGTGCTCAGTGACAACTTTATTACTGATTGTAAAGTAATATACAGTTAATTATACCTTTCTCCTCCTAGTCTCTAGAGCACCATTTCCTTTTCCTCTATTTCATTTTATTAAAAAAACTATATATCATCAAATAATTATATAATACTAAACTTAGATAAACACAGTAAAATGTGGCTCTTCAATATTGTCCACATTAATTTGGGATACTCAAGCATTAATAATGCACAAAATGAATATTTTTTGAATGCTTGCTTGGATAATTCAATTTCTCTCATTTATTTGGCATGCTGGGAAATCAAAAAATGAAAGACTAATATTATTTTTCTTTAAAAATGAA